GACGAACGGTTTTCTTAATTGATTAGTAGCTAGTAAACCGGTAATAATCAACCACAGTTTATTTTTCTTCAGTTTTTGTTTCTTAATGTGATATGGGCTCTTAAGGCCCACAACTATTTCTTCGAAAAAGAAAAAAACAATTACAGGCTTTTAAGTTTTAACAGCTCAACTTGTGTGTCCTGCGTTCGTCTTCCTTAAAGAAACGTCTAATCCTTACACTGTGTCTTCTCGAGAAAAAAAAATGGAATGGATAAATTCACTACCCAAAATCGAGCTTCATGCTCATCTCAACGGCTCCATAAGAGACTCCACACTTCTGTAAAACCCTAAATTTCGATTCTTTTTTTTGTTCTTCATCACTCTCTATCACTCGTATCTGCTTCTTCTCTAATGAATTACGAGACTTTCGTGTTGACAATTCGAAATTGAGGTTTTAAGTTTGATGGTTTTTTCTTTGTTTTTGAATGTACAGTGAGCTTGCTAGGGTTCTTGGTGATAAAGGCGTTATAGTGTTCACCGATGTTGAAGATGTCATTCGGAAAAGTTCGCTTCTTTGTTCCACATAAGTAGTTTCTTTATGTTTGGTCTAAATTTGAAAAGTGAAAATCTTTTGTCGTTATTTGATGTTTTTTATTTAGATACTCGATCTTTGGTTGAAGTCTTCAAGTTATTCGATTTGATTCATAAGCTCACTACTGATCACCAAACTGTGACAAGGATCACCAGAGAAGTAAAACCTTAATTCCAGTTTTTAATCCATTAATAAGCTTGGTTTAATTTTCTTTTGAGTGACTAAATTATCTCTTGATTTCAGGTTGTTGAAGACTTTGCTAAAGAAAATGTGGTATATCTCGAGTTACGAACAACTCCAAAGGTACACAATTTGAATATTTGATAATGTTTCTAAAAGTTAGATTTTGTACATTGGAGGAAAATGTGACTGTTTTTGTTTGTAGAGGAACGATTCGATAGGTATGAGTAAACGTTCTTATATGAAAGCGGTAATCGAGGGTCTGAGATCTATCAGTGAAGTCGATATTGAGTTTGTTGCGGCATCTGATTCTCAAAAACTAGACAATGTGTGTGATGGGATTCAGAGGAAGAAGATTTTTGTTAGACTTCTTCTTAGTATTGATCGTAGAGAAACAACCGAGTCTGCAATTGAAACGGTAAGTGTTTTTAAAAACAGGAAAAAATCTGCTCAAAAGATTTAATACAGAAAGCATCTAACACTCTCTCTCTCTGTACTCTAAAGGTTAAGCTCGCATTAGAAATGAGAAATGTCGGGGTCGTTGGTATTGATCTTTCAGGGAATCCTCTGGTTGGAGAATGGTAAATTGTTTGCATAAT